CTGCCATAGTAGAATTATTTGGTGAATGTTGATGTGAGTCTCTTTTTTGCAACTCTTACACATACCATGGAACATTATAATCATTCCACAATAATAATGATACTAGTTTGTACGTTATCATATAAATTAAATAGATGATCTATAGTTAATTTATAAATATCACCACCCATTCGTAGAACAGCTATTTGTAATACACTACATTGTAGAACTGAATCAACAAAGTATCCTTTGGAATAATGAACGTGATTGTCCAGTAAATTAAACGCACGAAAATTAGTTCCTACTTCTTCTAGTTCAATCTAAATAGATGTAGAGAATTATTTTGAGTATTGTGTTATGTTGAAAATATCCAATTTCCATTATTCGAAAGAGTATTCGAAGAAATACAAAAGTGAGAAGCTAGTGAGACTTATTGTTCTGAAATTTATTAAATTTATTGAAATCCGTCAAGTGAGGGCCAATTTTATTTTAAATTGTTTAGTTTGCCAATGAGACCTTTAATTTGGCCCCAATAAGTCGAACGTTCTTTACTAAGAGTATAAAAAACGATCATTGTTAGTGATCATGGCGAATAATATCACATGTAACGCTTAAAGAAATTAGTAACTATTGAAAGTTAGTAGTTGAGAAAAGACCATATACGAATTCACGATACACACATCATAGTTGAATAAGAACTTTCTCTATACAATACATAGCTTTAAGGTGAACGAAAAATTAATTAGTATAATTTCACTATTTATCAAACTTAATCAACTAATTTTTATTTCAAATAATACATTCTATAATGAATCTTTTTATTTATACGAACAAATTTTACAAATACTGCTCAAAGTTACCATTTTCAAATGAAATTTTTGTCGTGACATATCAAATGAGATGCATATAATCACAGGGCAAAAGATCTAGTCTATCTAAGTGGCACAAAGAAAAAATACAAGACATTTATGCAATGAATCGAAAACATGTTGTAGTGCTTTTTTTGAAATATACTACTGTGAGTGATTCGTATTGATGATGAGGTTTTTTTCGAAGAGAAATGGTGAGAATGAATCCAGATATCAGTATTCATTTTACCCACATCCTTTCGTTTTTGGCTAATGGCATTTGACTCAGAAAAGTGATATAAAGTTGTACAAAAAATACATTGTTAGACATGTTGTCAAAACCATCTAACAGTGTCTATTTTTCAGCGAACAGATGGCTTCCATGATAAAATCTCATTTGCAATAAAAATATTCCATTAGTCTTTATATCTTGTCGGAAAAAGAAGTACTATGTTTCAATAAAAACACCCTAGTGATTGTCTACATGGCTTACATATGTATATCGGGTGTAGTGCATATGAAGAGAAGACACACGTCCAACATCCATACCTCACACTAAAATTGCGAAAAACAGAGGTAAATCGCAATTTATTGCCAATTTCTTGGGATTTTTCTGATACGGATACAATACGACTAATCTTATATTTTACTGTTATGGAATCCGAAAATAAGTATATTAAAACTTAATATTATGAACGCCAAGTCTCTGTATAATGAAATATTTAAGTCATTCTAATGGGTGAACTGTTGATGTTGAAATTTCTATCAGCATTGATGCAATGTTGTTTTTCTCTGTAATTGATTTGGATCATCCGTTTTTTTCCTAATAGAGATACAAGAAATCGCTTGCAGATGAGTCATACCAAAACCGATTACTTTGGTGGTAAAAAATTTCTTTCTGTTATGTTTACATAAATGACTCATGTAAGACAGGAAAAAAAACACGTCACGACTTTTATATTTCTATAAAAGCGAACATATTTTTTCTGTCTAACAAGAAATGGTAGTTTTAATACTGTTTGCTTTCTGGGTTAAAAGAATGCTCTGCATCAAATCTGATCCATCAACTTCCGATCAAAAATACGTGGCATTAAAATCAGTTACAATCGTTTCAAAGCTTCGTTCATTTGGTGCAGATGTTAGTATTATACAACTATTTCGAAACGATGAAAATCAGCCGACTGAAGCTGTATACTCTTTTCCAATCGAAGAAAATGTTGCAATTTATTCGTTTGCATCAAAAATTGATGATCGAGAAATTCGTGTTCCATTGCAAGAAAAACACCAAAGCACAACAAGAATATACACAAGCCTTGTAGCAAGGTCATGGTGCTTATCTCATGGAACAAGACGAAAAATTGCAAGATATATTCATTATCAATGTGGGAGCACTTCTTCCTAGAAATGAATGTCAAATTCAAATTATGTATGTGACTGAATTAGATCTTGTTAGTCGAAATAAAATTCGTTTTATTGTATCAACAACAATAGCACCACGATGTAATCAATCATTTGGTGGTATTTCATCTCCTGCTAGTACACAAGCAAAATATGTTCAATCAGTACCGTACACAATCGATTTTCAATGTCAAATTGATAAACTACATGGTGAAATAAAGAGTGTTTCATCATCTTCACATTCAATTGCAATTCAATTTAATGACGACACATATTCGATAACATTTGATCAAAAGAATACATTTATGGATCGA